GCGAGCTGTCATTGAACGAAAAAAGGAAATGGGTAATGGAGAGACTCAGGGGCCTAGAGAACATTCCAGGGATTGAACCAGAAGTTTCATATCACAAGCGGGGAAGATTCACGGTCATGATAGTCTGCGTGGATCCGGCGTACGCTCAATACCTGCGGTCGTTGGGTTCCCTCAGGTGCCACGGGTCGGTGGTGACGATCCAAGCATGGAAACCACCTCAGCCGCCACCAGCGGAGGCTTCAAGGCACAGGCAGTCAATGATGAGGGACAAATTCTGGGTACAGTTTGACAACCTCTCAGAAGGGATGCACAGCCTCGTGCAGCAGCGCCTGAAGGAAGAATGCCCAAACAACCCCATCATAGAGTGGCTCCCGGCAAATCCCGACTTTCTGGCTCCAAACCACGATTCCAGGGTAGCGTGCTTGGAAGTGAAATCCGGGGCGCCGCCGAAATTCCCCGAGGTATGGATCTTCAGAAGAAGGACAGAGCGCATCACGGTTTTCATATCCTCTAAATCCAATCCATTATGCTTCAAGTGCAGAGCAAGGGGACATTTGGGAATGCATTGTCCGCAATCAAGTACTGGTTCGAACGCAGGTTCGGGGGGGAGGCAACCACAACTAAAACAATCAATGTTAGTCGAGGCAGACAACAAGTCTGGTACATAAACTCAGCACAATATAGAGGCTGGATCTTCGACGATAATCTGGAGATGCCAAGATGGATATGGGTCCTGAGCGGTACACCCACGCTGAAGCCAGACATCTACCCACCTTATGACAGCCGCTGGAGACTAGCAGGTGCAAAGCGTATGGAGGACAAAGATGTGGGCTACATCCACAAACCGATGATAGACAAGGACACAATACTGGATGACAAACAGCGTTGCAGACCATGGCCCAACTGCATAAGCTGGGGCAAGAAGCTGAAATGGCCTTTTTAGAGAATAAAAGAGCGAGGGAGGAGGCTGAAAAATCAGCAGAGGTGGGCAAGGGGAGAGAGGAAGAAGAAGAAGTGGAAGGCAACAAAACCTCGACTCAAAGTGAGGGACTGCGTGGAGAGGGGACAGGAGAGACAAGGATCAGCAAGACAAGAGAGGAAGGGGATTCACAGGGGGCAGTCAAAAGGAAGATGAGTGACAGAGAAAATTCTACGGGGGGTATTGCGAGCCATGACACAAAAAGATCTCATACGGGCAAGAGGGAAGAGGAAGCTTCAGTGTCGCAAGGCCAAGTCCATGGATCAGGCACGAGAGAAGAGGGGCAAGGGGAGGCCAAAGCACAGAGTGAGGGAATGGACATAACTCCATTAGAAGCAGAGGATTCATCATCTTCTTCTTCGGACCAACATACACGGCCAGGTTCACCATCAGCAGGTAACAGCTCATCAGGAAGAGCACGGATGGACAGCGGGGAAAACGTAATGGCAGATCCACCGAATGGCTCAAAAGGAGATATGGATAGCGGGGAAGATGTTAGAATGTCACAGGACTCGGGAGAGGACTCAGGAGAAGACACAGGAGARGACACTGAAGRGGAGGAATGGGAGGATGCGGMGGAGGAGGAGGAACCGGAGGAGGAACCGGAAACGCTAGCCCAGTGGATCAGAACGGTACACAAGCTGAAGTGGGAAAGACACGTCGAATGTGAAGTACCTTTGGCGCATCATAAGCATCTACACAACCTGAAGCAGGCTACTTCAGCTGGGGACGATATTACCTCAACAAACAGATTTGAATGGTTGAGGAAAGAGCTGGAGGTCAATGAGTTCTACGCATCACAGTATGCTTGGAAGGCCCACCCAAACAGCAACGACATTTTGGTACATAATGGGAACTACGCCAAGCAGTTTATATGGCCCAAAACGTACCAACCTCAGGGGTTGAAAAGGTCAGAGCAAAAAAGGAAAGCGCAGCAGGAATCAGAAAGCTCAGCTCAAGGGATGGAGGAGAAGGAGCAGATCGAGGAGGAGATGAGACAAGCAGCGATCCTGGAGGCACAAATCAACGTCTTCAAGGACCAAAACAGGGAATTGGAGGAGGATACCATCAATCTGCTAAAAATAGCATACTCTCCACAAGGTGACAAATGCAGCAGCCAAGCTCTTCGCAAGGCACAATCCAAGGAGGAGAGTCGTCATACCATACCGCTGGAACAGTGGCAACTCGGACTGGGAGGTGGCCATACATAAGACATTGGCTCTGATCTCTACAAAGGATAGTCACTGCTCGCAGGAAAGGCTCAAGGAACAGATCTCAGGAGATCTCCCGGACAGAGCTCAAGTGGTAGGGAGCCTGTCCCAAGATCGGGAGGAGTGGGAGGACACGGCAGGTGGTAAGCAAACAGTTGACTACAGGCCTATTCTACTCAGAATGCAAGAGAAGGCAAAGCTGGCGGAGGGACTAATATGGATGCCTTGGCAGGTGGTGGAGGCAATACCATATGGACTATTGGGGGGCACAGAGGCAGCGGCATGGGTGGCTAGGGGAGCAGCGATCCTATCCAAGGCAGATGTTTTCTCGGGGACGCCAGAGGGCATGGACACGTTGTTAGCAGCCGTGGCGACAGACTGGGAGTGGCCACAAGAGGGCTCATGAAGAAATGCTCATTAACGGACCATAATCAAGGAATATTATAAATGGCAGGGGTAGTGTTGGAAGATAGAACCAAGAGAAGAAGATTATCGTCACGAGAGGGGGAAAGGGAACCGGAAATCAGAATTGTGTCTTGGAACGTTAATGGCATGGTAAGGATAAATCGAATAATTTATTAAGGGCCACGGATTGGTTCGGGAGGAACCCCCCTGACTTTTTATGTCTTCAAGAAACTCACCTCACTGACTCGCCGGTACATCAAAAGACACAGCAACGTATAGAAAAGCAACTCAGATGGGTGAAGGCTAGTTTTCGGGCCGTGGCAAATAGACCGCACTCAGCAGGGGTGGTAATTCTGTTGAATAGGAGGTCCGCGGCAGCAAAGAAGTTGTCTCTGTTAGAAGCCTCGACGGATGAGGAGAACGGTCGATGGGTGAAGCTCAACTTCTCTTATCAGGAGGAACAATTCTCGTTAGTCACAGTCTATTGCCACAACTCCCACCAAAGTAGAGCAGAAATGCTTCAGTCATTACAATCCCACTTGGAGTCTACGAGACATGTCATACTGGCAGGAGACTGGAATGCCACTCTTGACCCAAGTTTAGATAGGATAATGGGCGGAAGATCAGGATTAGGGGATGAGCCTCCGAGTGAAGAGGCCTTACCAATTCACGCACTCATGATTGGCCAGGGGCTTATTGACCCCTTCCGCCTCCACTACCCAAACCTGAAACAATACACCTACTACAAAAGGAATCGCAGCCAGCACATGTCA